CTCATGAATAGCTGGGACTACAGGCACCCACTACCATGCCTGGCTAATTTTTTTTTTGTATTTTAGTAGAGACGGGGTTGCCCAGGCTGGTCTCGAATTCCTGAGCTCAGGTAATCCAGCCGCCTTGGTCTCCCAAAGTGCTGGGATTACAAGTGTGAGCCACCGCGCCTGGCCAACATCCCACCTCTTAATACTACCATGATAAAGATTAAGTTTCAACCCATAACTTTTGGGGACATTCAGACCATAGCAATATGCTTCTTGAGATTAGAGATAGTGTTGTACCCATCTGTGTATCCTGAGCACCTAGAGTAATGCCTGGCACATAGTGGACTCTATAAATGTTTGTTGAAAGCATTTGGCAAATGAGGGCATGAGTAAAAAAACAACAAAGAACGAATATCATGCTCTGTGTTGGGGGTTTCCAACTTTTCTGACTGAGAAGGTGATGTTCCATGGATAGACGCTGCTAGATGACAAGGGTCAGTGATAGGATGGAGGAAGGAGGTTATGAATGCTTAGCTTAGCCGGCAGATTTTCAGTTCACCAGGAAGTTTGGGGAAAATGAAGAACAGGGGCATGTGAGCTACATTCCAAGCCTATAAGGACTCAGCAGAAAGCTGCAACTTATTAAACCTGTTATAAGGTTAAACCTCCCTTTACTGTCTTCGGGCGCCTGGCATTTTAGCATGAAAGTCCCTCCATTCTTCCTTTTGGTGCATGTTCAAAGGAGCAGAGGATTCCAAAAGGAGAAGAAGAGTTGGAGTGGAACCTGAGGAGCACAGGAAGGGGTCTTGATTCTCCTAAACTTGGGAGGGACTGACTGAAGTAAAGTAAAAGGAGGCCCCTTGGTGCTGGCCAACTGAGTGGAACAGCACATGGCTGGCTGGGAAAGTCTCCAGCTCATTAAAAAGAAAAGGAGGAGGAGGGGGCGGAGGACAAGGGGAAGAGGAGGAAGAGGGGGAGAAGGAGCCATTTTATCACACTGGAGCTGCACGCTGCTGCTCTGAAACCGACCACCACCTTCTGTTGGGATCCCATGCTTGGAATCAAACTTTTTTGCTTCATGATTCACACCTCCCATCCCTCCTGCTACTGTTTTTTGAAGTGACAGCTAAGGCATTTTTTCTTTTTTTTTTTCTTGGATCTGAATTCCTTAAGATTCCACCTGCCTCCTAATCATGAGAGTCCCTGCAGAAAGGAAGTGCCAGACACAAAAAATGAAAGAGCGCTTCTCCCCAGTCTTCTCTCCTTTCAGCATCAGGTGTCTCCATGAGCTGTGAATGGGTTTCCTCTGGAGTGTTCTCTGTTGGGTCCTGTGTTGTTGGATTGTGGTGTTTCCTTTTCTTCTCCAACCATGCACCGATGTGGGAATAGCAGATGTGACATTTGAGAGTTCAAGTTCAGCTGATCCTTTGGGTGCATGTCTTTGGGGAACATATCTAATCTCTCTACTTGTCTCAAGTAACTCTTCTGTAAAATGGGCATAAAATATGACTCCAAAGAGTTGTTTTGAACATTTAATATGAAAAAATATTAAAAGTGGTTAGTAGAAACAAGTAAGAATGTGTCTAATAGTAACAAGTATGATTGAAATGCTTTTCTCTGATATGGGAATTGCTCTCATTGAGACTGACCTTTTAACTTTCAAAAGTTGTCCTTCATTTTCAGGAAAGTGTAAGACTGTGACCTTTGAATATTTTTTCTTAAGTTGCTTTTTTTTAACAATCAGACAAAAATTTCAACATGAGGATTACATGCACTTGTGGTTTGCTTCATAACAAGGCAACAATGAGCCAATATATTGCGGTAAAGGTAGAATCAGTTATGAAATTTCCTTGGAGAGGGTTTTTAAATTTTGTTTAGTTTTTTTGTTTGTTTGTTTTGTTGAGATGGAGTCTCACCCTGTCACCCATGCTGGAGTGCAATGGTGTGATCTCAGCTCACTGCAACCTCCGCCTCCCAGGTTCAAGCCATTCTCCTGCCTCAGCCTCCCGAGTAGCTGGGATTACAGGTGCCAGCCACCAGGTCTGGCTAATTTTTGTATTTGTAGTAGAGACAGGGTTTCCCCATGTTGGCCAGGCTGGTCTTGAACTCCTGACCTGAGGTGCTATGCCCGCCTTGGCCTCCCAAAGTGCCAGGATTACAGGCGTGGGCCACTGTCCCCGGTCTCTTGGACAGGATTTTAAATGGCCAATTGTGGTTCCAGATCTTATTCCCTGTGCCTGCCATCGCTAGCATCGAGTGAGAACTGCCCCCTTGATTTCCACGTTTGTAAGGGTGTAAATAAAGAACAGTATTTTTTTCTAGGAATAAAGCTACATGCAAGTGGTGCGTCATTGCGAGGGAAACTTTCAAACTGGAATCCTTCTGGTGAAATGGTTCATTAAACAAACCCTGTAAGGGGAGGGCCAGAGAAACAGAAAGGAAATGCATCTTTGCTATTTCTAAAGCCAGGCTGCAATTTCCAACTTCAAAGGGGGAAAAAATAGCCAAAGCCTCAAACATCCTCTATCCCAGCTTACTAGAAAACCAATTTTCCAGATAATAGGAATTCTTTGATCAAAGGCATGCAGGCATTTCCCTTTAAATGGGTCAAATGATAATTGCCTACAGGAACACCCACGTTAATAAATTCATCAGTATTCTGACAGCCTGCAAGGGATTTGGACAGATGCTTGAGGGCAGCCTTCCCCCAGAAGTTTTCTCAGACAGTACCAGATGCACATGGAAAGGCCACTCCGGAGCTGGATGAAAGCATTTCTTTACCATGGGGCTGTCTGGGTCTGACGCAAGGCGGTTCCACGGGGCCTTTCCTGCATTCCCCAGGGATGTGTGGCAACCTCACTCTAGGCTGTAGGCAGAAGCAAGCATCAGTGGTGCCCTCAGCTCTCCACTGTCTCTGAGTGGGTTGAAGAGGGATGGTGTTAGCATTACTAGGCACAAAGAAGGCTTTCCACCAGGTAGACGGTCCTGTTCATCCTCTAGGACTCGACTCCAATCATTTAGCAGATTGTTAAATTATCAAGACAACCCCAGTGGTTCTTTTATCCAGCTCTCCTATTAAAGTAAGCCATCTTATAATTATTTATTTATTTATGATTAGTATTTTTCAAAATTGAGTTACTAGAGAGCAAGGATTTGTGTGTGTATGTGTTTGTGTTTGTGTGTGTGTAGAGTGTACACAGTACCAGGTATTCAGTGGTGTTTAATGAGTGAATGAATAAATGAATGAATGAATGAATGATGCATTGATGCCTGTGATGATTTTGACATATACAAAATTCCAAAGGCCAGGCGCAGTGGCTCACATCTGTAATCCCAGCACTTTGGGAGGCTGAGGTGGGCAGATCAGGAGGTCAGGAGATGGAGACACGGTGAAACCCTGTCTCTATTAAAAATACAAAAAAATTAGCTGGGCATGGTGGTGGGCACCTGTATTCCCAGCTACTTGGGAGGCTGAGGCAAGAGAATGGTGTGAACCCAGGAGGCGGAGTTTGCAGTGAGCCGAGATTGCGCCACTGCACTCCAGCCTCCAGCCTGGGTGACAGAGCAAGACTCCATCCAAAAAAAAAAAAAAAATTCCAAAAAT